GGGGGGGGGGGGGGGGGAGACAAAGAGTAGCACAGGGAGGAAGTACAAGGTACATATACTCCTCTTCCTCTGCTCTTCATAGCTATAGCTACTTTAGGGCTAACCAGTTGCTCCTGGGTGGCCAATCCATTGGACAGAATTTACATCAAAGGGTGTGTGTATCTCCATGCATTATATCTTCACTGCTATCCAGGTTTTCTGATCTTTCTAAAAAAAGTTGCTAATTTTCCCAGCAACAGATCAACTATTTTCATTCTCCCCTTTGCAAGCAAATCTAGAACTCTAAGCTTTGTGAAGGAGAGGAGAAAGCAGAAATAGGAAAGACTTCGCTTTCTGCCCCCAAGTGGCATCCTAAATGACTCCCACATTTCCAACTGATATCAAGAGATTTGGAGCAGAGCAATAATATTCCTTGACCAGAGAATATTATTAACAATTTGGTCCAGGAAGGGAGCAGATAGTGAGTTTGCTTTTTAACCCACAGACTGGTGGAAGTTAGGCAATGGTGGAGCAAGAGGAAGTTAACCAATTTCAGGTTCAAGTCTTGGTTTCGCTTTGATGGAGGAAGGTATGAAAGCCAGATCTGGGCTGATCTTTGTGTCCAGCTTACTGTGACCCAAAGAACACCACAACTATTGAGAGACAGCTATACTATCTACAGTATATAAAGAGAAAGAGAAAAAGGATCAGCTATAATTAGCAGCTAGTAAAGATGATATTGCTACATACCTGAAATATTTATTGCTCCATTGGGTCTCCAATAAGGAGAGAAAAGTTGTATCTCTCTATCGGTGCAGCAGCTCAGTTCTTTTCTGTCTGCACCATTACAGACAATAGAAACATTTTCTGATGGTACAAGTTTAATTTGAGAGACCATTATATTAATGTCACCTCTGTATATTGAGGGCAGCTTCTCTGAGTTGTCTTTAAAATTGCAACTAAAATTATCTGCAAAAAAGACATATTTGTTATTGGCAAACATAGTTTCCTAAAGTAACATACTCCGAACTTCTTAGGAATGAAAACCACTTTTACAACATAACTAGCTTTTCACAGTTTTGTAATAAAATAAATGTATATTGCAGATCGAATACACGTAAAACTATCTCAGGAGAAGTAATCAGTCACAGACTGAGCATGAGCCAGTAGGGAGAGGCAAAAAGGATAATGCAATATTATTTTGCTTTAATAGAGTAACAGGGGTTCAGCTAACATCATATTATCAGATAGACTTGTGCAACAGGAGTTTCTTTTCCATCCTAAATCTGCTCTTGAGTGTCTCCCAACCATCTTGTTCAAATTTGGGGGTGCAAATATAGGCCGGCAGGATAAATAACGTGCGTTCCAGTGACAAATGAAAATATCTGGATGCAACTTATATTTTTCAAGTCACAAGTGCTAATTGTTCAACTTTACTTTCTGAAACAAAGCTTCATTTATTGGGCAGAATATTGCTATTATATATTATATTGGAACAGTGACGACAAGATCAGAAGCTGCTTCTTTATAATCCTTCCTTCCTTCCTTTTTCTTTCTCTTTCTCTTTCTTTTCCTTTTTTATTTCTTTTTCTATTTTCTTTCTCATTCACTATTCTTTATTTTCTTTGTTTTCTTTCTAATTTGGTATTGGTTTTATTTGTTAAAATTTCTTCAATAAAAATTATGTAACAGTGACAAGAAGAACAATAGTCTGCCATCATCATTTCAGGCACCACACTTTAAGTATGATGTAGGCAAATTAGAATTGGTTCAAAGAAGGCCACTGAATGATCAGTCAGATAAGTTTTGTGAGGAAAGCTTGACAGAAACCGGGTCCGTAGGCATCTGCAGGGGGCAGGCGAGTGTCAGAATGCGCAAAGCCTGTGACTTACAGATTTGTGTTCACCACTGAGAACCAAATATGTAAGGGCAAAGTTCACATCATGACTTCATTATATGCATGCTGCCATTTTGATGTAACCTCAGCCTCCTGTGACTGGGTCTATTGACACTAGAAGGGAGAAGACTGAGAGGAGATGTGCCAGAACTTTTCAGGTTACCTGAAGGACCACCCCATAAATCAATCCAATAGTTCTGGAGAGCAGGACTAGGTCTGATGGACTTAAGTTACAGGGAGATTTTTGTGGGAAAATTAGGAAGTACATTTTAACAATAAGAGTAGTTATGTAAATTAGCCAGAGGGGTGGTAGGCTTTCCCTCACTGGAAGCCCAAGTAGGAATTGCACAGCTCCTTGTTGGGAATAGTCTAAGTCAGTGTTTCTCAACCTTGACCACTTTAAGATGTGTGGACTTTCAACTCCCAGAATTCCCCAGCCAGCATGCTGGCCAGGAAATTCTGGGAGTTGAAGTCCACACATCTAAAAGTGGCCAAGGTTGAGAAACACTGGTCTAAATTGTAGAACCCCTGCTCTGAGAAGGCAGTTAGATTTGGTGGCCTGTAATACCTTTCTAATTCTGATTTTTGGTGGTTCCATAAACAAAAGGACTCATGTTAAAGTTAACTTTGTATCCCAGCAAAACCTCCACAGTCTCCCACCACAATCGGGAGACATTAGCTGGAATGACTGACCAAGGCCCTTGATACACTGGAGAGGATATGCAGATGCTATTAGGTAGCTAAGAGCTCATCCATACATCCTGCTTGTCCCAGCACAAGGATGGCCCATTCACTGTTTTTTGAGGACAGAAACTCACAACATCAGCCTCAGCTACCCCCCAGCCCACTACCAAGGCCAACTCCACCAGTCTTTCCTTGCTCCACCTCCAAACTGCTGTTTTCTGACTTCTGCCAGCACATACAATGCGGTGTGTCTGCCACAAGAGGGAAGTCTCAGCAGTCTTCAAAATTTGCAGAAGGGCAAAATATATTTTAGGGAAATAGGACCCAAGGAGGAGTTGTTGGAGGAATCTGACTGATGGCTGGTAGGAAAAAATGGAGAACCTGGTGGCAGTGGGAATGAATAGAGGAAAGAAAGAAAGGGGGACAGGGATGACTGAAATAGTGGTCAGGAACGCACGCTGCACTGCATTCCTGCTTGTGGGTTTCAGTTCAGCACACAGCTTGGGCTAGTATTCTGACTCAAAGCTAGCCTGAGCACAGAAGAAGCCCTGCTGCCAATCCCACAGCTGATGGAGGGAAGCCTGCCGAAGCAGGAAGAAAGCTTATTATTGGGAATACATCAGAGCAGTTTCCATGGTGCTGCCTGCCCTAAGCTGATCTTTCAGCATATGCTGGCCACAGTTGGGAGACTAGCAGTGTTCAAGTAATGGTAACATTTTGTGCAACACTTGAGTAACTTTGCTTAGGGGCTGTGACAGTGTGTTATTTTCACAGGCAGCATAATGTCATGAGTGTTTATTGTTATCCTTGCCCATATTTTAGAGCTGCGGGGAATATTATTGTCAAACAATCTTCACAGCTTGGAAAAGAGCATTGTTGGCTATCCAGTTGTAACTTATGTTTGATGCTGCATTTGTTCAGCCGATTTCATTATAGTGGGTGAAATGATGTGGCAAGTGTTTCCCTCTGGGGGAGCACTTCCACTGATAGTTTATAAGAAGAGAATATCTGTAGCTCAGGGGTGAACTGTGGAGTCCTTGGTGCTCTCTGAGCTTGGTTGTTTGCTTGCAG